TATCATCAGCTTGGAGATGGAAATCCATCATCACCGCTGCAGTAATAATGGTTCATTATCAGTTCCAATGCCTTTTCATTATTACAATCAGTCACTTTTGTGCCTGAAAATCTGTCTCACAATTGTTTTTTTTCTCAACACTTAGAGCAAAATGCATCCTGGCAGAGTTTTTTCACCACCTTCCTCTTCAGTCAGCAAGTCCTCTCTTTCATTTGTCAATGTCTTTCTTCTCATTCCCTCTTTCTCTCCACTCTCTTTTCACAGCTTGCAGTGACTTTCACATCGCTTCGGTTTATGTCACGCCCCCAAGCATTCAGATCTGAAATGCATCTTTGGAAAAAGGGGATACTCAAACTCTATCATCTCTATCACTCATCGCCACTTTCCCGTCTAAAGAAAAGCCTCAAATTTCAGTGTTTTTTTAAAAATATGATTTCATTTTTATCAAGTCAAGTCCTGGTGTGCTGAGTAGTCCACTGTCCTTGTGTGAAAGTGAATACTCCCCTGGTTGGTGCTTTCTGAGGACACATGTGAGGGCTCCAGCCACAATGACGCCATATCTCTCATTAACATTGTAGCTGCTATCTCACCGTCACTCACAGGCTTGGACAGTACCTGCACTGTCCATATGTTGGGATACGGGCTCAGTGTATAGGGGTAATACCAGCCATTGTTATTGGTACAGTTCTCCCCTGTTTGTTTATTATGTCTCACATCAATTGTGGAAAGTGCTGATGGAACAGTTGAGAGAGGAGATTAGCGTTAGTCTTTGCCTTTTTAGAGGCAGCACTAAGACGAGGCAAAAACACCTGGGAGGGGAAGAAAAAAGTGTTTGCGAACTGTGCTAGTATTGTTATGTGAGCAGGGTAGCGTTAGGTACTTAAAAAGAAACTATGCTGACCCAGGAAAAGACATACAGACTAAGTGTGGTTTTGTTGCATGTCAGTAACACAGCTTGCGGTGATGTTGTGTTTTTTTTAAATCTTATATACTGTGGCCCACATGCTGAGAGTAGAGTGTGTTGCATATTTGCAAATAGGCTTTCTGTTTTTGTCAGTCTGCTAAATGCCGTGACTCACAAGTTCAGCTGTGCATGGAAACATCTGATGACTAATACTTCTAATCCCCCAGGAAGTAATGCAGTACATTCATTTGTGTAAATAAACCACAAAGGCATCACTTTAACGGGTTATCATACACTAGCAAAATCTTTCTCTGCACTTTTCTCACTGCAGTTATGCATCTTATTGGATTATAAAGGGACAGAAATAGCAATGGGTGAAATAAACTCAACACAAAATTGTACAAATTATAGAAGATACTTATAGATGTAAATTATAGGTGATGGATGTTTCAGTATACCAGGTTAATGTGAGACTACAGCCTTACTCATCAGAAAAAGTTTTAATACTTTTTTATCAAAGTTTCAACAAGCAATAAAACATCAAGAAGCACATTTTTAAAATTTTAGAATAATTGTAATAGTATACTCATAGTATTAAAGGAATGTCACACAGATACTACTAGACTGTAGGATAACAATCTGTGTCAGAAAACAGCAACTGTAGACAAACACAATAAGGTATCATATGTCATCATATGCACAGAATAAAGTAACGAGGTCCACACATAAAAGAATATTATGTAATATTTAGGTTTTTTTTTTCTTACCGTGAGTCGACACTTTTACTTTAGTCGGCCTGTCCCAACGCTGCACCGGCGTTTCGACATGTTTTATCTTCTCCATAAATGACTCTTGGTCAGACACAATCCATCGCACCGACTCCACGAGCTTTCACCTCTGAGGGCGAAGCGCACCTGAACGTTACACCCGAGGGAGAGACTGCCGCTTCCACACACACACACACACACACACACACACACACGAACACACACACACACGCGTCTTATTTGTTCCGCCCTCTTCCTCCTTTATGTCATTTAATTACCCAGAACCAGACTGTTCCTTAAATAACTAAAAGCATTATTGTCTAATATAAATAGTAACTAACTTCTATTTTTTTACTTTGTTGACTATTTGGGTTCACTAATAATTGAGAATTTTATATATTATAGTTTATAATAGATTTGATATGTCCTTTTGAAATGCAGGATAGGATATTTAGTGTGTTTAGTAAGAGTTGTATTAACAGTGAATGCAGTACTTCTGAGCAGTGAAGCAGCTTGGTGTTACCTAGCAGACAGTCTCCATTGCATTTGAATATATACATATTTGGGATCGTTACCTTTACCTAATATTGTTTTTGCTTCAACATGGCCTGTAAATGTCACTGGAAAAAGTGTGTGTTACAATGATGTGAGCAGAGTGATGTTGAGGCAAAGTGTGGGCTGGAGGCTGGAAAAAGGTACGGAGCTTTATTTAGGGTAGCTTAACGCCCCCAGTGACGGCTGCTGTACTGTTAATGTATTACTGCTTGATTGTTCCACACTACAGGGTGATCTGGGTGTTTGTGTGTGTCTGAAGGTGGGGATGGGGGTGGGGGTTGGGGGTGTATACACAGGAAGTGGTTCAAGATATATCAAGCCAAAAAAAGCAAAGGCCCAGCAATGATGTGAAAAATGTTTGCATGTTAAGTCTCTACTTATGCTTGGACAGAATCTGAATCCATTTGCCTCTGTGCTTTATTGGCCCCTGAGGAATTGTCTATGTGAAATAGTTGTCAAATAAAGTTGACAGATGGGCGTCGGCTCCCACCTGAGCAGCGAGAGGGGCTCTCTGTCTCTTTCTCTGTCGCTTTCTCTCGCTCTCTCAAGGGCCAATAAACCTCTGAGGCTGATGGATTTAGCTCCCGTTCCAAGCACAAATGGAGACTTTAGAAACAAATATTTTCCACCTTCTCGTCAGAAGGTCTGCAACTCTTTTCAGTCAGCCGAGCATGGCTTTGACCACTTCCTGCACACACAGTCCTAACACAGTACACTCTGCCTCCAATGTTGTTTGCTGGAGCACAGCGGATTTGTCGAAGGCAGAAACTACGAGAGATTAGCCTGCTGTACACACTTGTGCACACTCATGCACAGCGTCACACAAACACACACACATTCTCACGGTGAGGTATGAGCTACACTTTATGTCATGCACTGCTTTGATGTGCAGTGAACTCTGTTAAAGGAGAAGTAGAGATAGAGAGTTTATAAATTGACATTGACGTTGTTAGTGGCTGATACTCGCCCCCACACTCCCATCGTCAGTTAGTTGCTCAGTTGCCGAGATGCTTTTGTTGTCATGGCGATAACCAAATTGTGGCCTTTGCTGCAAAACAAACTCATGCATCCCACTATACACTCACAGCAAATTATTCAGCAATGACATTCCTTGGAGGGTAAATTGAGGCTGATACATAATAAGATAATCATATATGTCTCTTTTGCTCAAAAATAAGATATCAACTTACCCTTGAACTTTAGAGACCTTTGATACACTTTCGATAGCACTACTGCAGAAATGAAACAATGGAGAAACAAATCCTTGAAAGTGAATAGCTATTCTGGCAATACAGGCACAATAAAGTGTAAATGTGATGATATGGCTAATGCAGTATATGTATGAGAAGTTTAAATATGTATATGAAATAAGATCATGTAAAGTTTATGCAATCACTGCCAGCATGTCGTCAACACGATATTTGTGATTTCACCTTTCTAAACCAATCATTTAGTGTTACGTAACTAAGAACATTTAACCAACAGCTACATACACTGCTAAAACATCAACCTCTCTTTTATTTTTTAAATTTTAACAGCGATACACCCCTGTGTTACTAATATATATCAAGATTATTCTCACAATTTTTCCTATTACTTTTTAGATACAACTTCCCTTCAAAGAATACAACTTATCAATCCAACTGAGTCACTTTATGCTTTCGTCCCAGATATCTTCCTTTTCCCCGAATGGTATAAACATATATGATAAGAAATGTAATAATAAATATGTTTGTCAAATTCCTCAAAGAAAAGCAAAGGTGCTCTTATAGGTCAATTCTATTGGTGTTCACATTTGTAGTGATGAGCCAATACTTAGGTGTCCACATAGACAACCTTCTTTGCTGATAACCTCTGCAATAGACTGCAGCAGAGACTTTAGTTTCTAAGGTGACTGTATGGAGTGAGCAGCCAGATCATGCTGATGTTTTACTGGGCGTTTACCGGGCTAGAGAGCATCATCAGATATGGAATCACAGAATAGTTTGGCTACTTAACATTGCAGCTAAAAAGCAGGCTGACCAGCATGCACAGAGTAACTACAGGCACTCATCGCAGACCCTTAACATCTCCTCTTCTCTGAATATGAACCTCTGTCATCAGGGAGAAGACTCCTGTGTGGCAAATCAAACTGACTGAAGTTATCATTCGTTTCAATCTCCATCGAGCTGCTGAACTGTATTACCAAATCTAATTATACCAGCACCATAGCACTTTAATTTTTATAGTTTCTTATAGTCTCTTCTTTTGGCTGCCGTAATGTCAGTGTTAAAATGTACAGATAGTCAAATGTGTCTTTCATGTTTTAAGATTCTGATGTATGTTTGTTTGTTTTTGTGAAGCAACAGATTGTAGCACTGTGGCCAAGACAAATCTCTCCTCTGGGACAATAAAGTGTATTCTGTTCTATACACATCCGAAAAAGATCCTGACTCTTTAATCCTTAGTACACACATAGAATCAAAGAAATGTATTTTAAAATCAGACATACTCTATCGTTATTATTATTATTATTATTATTATCTATTGATAATGCTGATGAAACATCTATTTGTTTATTTTTTCTAATGTAAAATCACAATTTGGAAATGTTTTTAAATTATTTAAACCCTGATGTTTTATACTAATATTTAACTACTTTTCTCAAAAATGCTTTTATAGCATAATGTTAAAATGTTCCCAGCACTCGTGTATTATTTGCCATTATACTTGTTTTTGCACTTATGTATATGTATATTATATTGTTAATAAAGTTTTGATTACAAAAAATAAAAGGAAGTAAAAATGGTCTTTACACCTTGGAGCTGAAAGCTAGCGTCCGCAGGATTGTCCTCTGTTAACCTACATTAGTTTGTAGTTTAATGGTTAGTTTACTGAAAAAACGTACTTTATGTGACAGCGTTGTCGAAACTTTAGTTATAAAATAAAACTTTAGTTTGTCAGGAGCATGACGGGCCAGGGGCTAATTAGCGTTAGCTAAGTTAGCTTTAACGTCATAATGAGTCCAGCTGTGTAGTAACCATAGCTAGCTTTCTCCTCACCTGCCTGACTTGTAAAACTATTTGATAAGCTTTAGTACATATATATATATATATATATATGTTTCTGTTTAACAGGTTGAACCAACATGACGGGCGCGGATATTGTTCATGAGAAGATCCACTACAGACACGACCCGAAGTGGAGCGGCCGCCTGGGGCCTGCGGAGGGCGGCGGGCTGCTGCTCTGTGTGGCCTGTGTCATTGAGATGATCGAGAGCGACGATATAGCGGTGAGGGACATGTCATCAGCTTGTTTGTGTCTTATCTGAATGTGAAACTTCTCCCATACCAAACTTAATCCTTCCTCTAGTTGGCTGGGTGGTGTTTGTTATGTTAGGTGAGTAGTATCAACCAGAATTTCCTGTTTTAGGCTTTTTAGGAATCTGTTTATGGAAAATACATAACCCTATTATTTCCCCTTGATGCACAGGCTTTATTTACCCTCCCGTATCTTTATCTCTGTGGCACAGTCGGTGAGGAAGTCGTTTGCCCTGTCTGGTATCAGCGGGGTGCTGAAGTGTTCTCCGGGGGCCTTGAGAGAGCTGCTCCGGCAGGACCACAGAGTCTCTCTGCGATTCACAGCTTCTCTGCTGGGTGAGAAATGGTGGCACATATGGCATGAGATCAGGATGTGAAGGAAGGACTAGGACTTTGATCTCTCAACTGTTGTCTCTCTGGTGGCGAAGATATGTCACGTAAGGCAGGCTGATAAGTCATAATGCACAGTAATGCACAGTAGGTGTAGTGTGTTTGGAAGCTCACTGTAGTAACAGAGCCGGGGCTGCACAATGCATTGCAATATAATCCCAATTGCAATATGGTCAAGTGCAATATCCAAATCGCAAGAAGCTGCAATTATTTGATAAAGGTCCAAAAAGCATTATAATAAAGTACTGTAGTGCTGCAGAGAGTCTCTAAAATACAAATCGTGTTCTCCAGATTTAAGAAAACATTTTTGTTTTGTTTTGTTTGGTACAGACCCCAACATCATCACAATTTTAATAAAATTAAAAAAAAGATAATTCCCACTAACCGTGAATCATATTGCAATCACAATATCTGTAAAAACAATGGCAGTATGATTCTTTTTACCATATAATGCTCAACAGTAAGTGTGAAAATCCATTATTGACCGTCACACTAACCAGCACTGGCTGTTGTAGACCTCTTGCTGGGTGTGCGTGTACGACCTTCCTTCTCCTTGAAGTTAATCTCCACTGGGTCAGTTCACTGTCTCCTGCTAGTGCTGCAGTCACATCACGGCTTTTCTTCAAGCTTCGACTGAACAACCGAGACAATAGATCTTATCACATTAGCAGTGAGAGAGCGTTATTCACCATAATATAGTAATATAGTAATATCGTAGTAGTGTTAAAAAATATAAAAGGATTCATGTAGATAATAGAGTTGACCTGCTGTTCACTGATGTTCTTTCATATTATAGGCATAATAATGGCACACACTTGTCATCTGTGGTAGGGTTGAACCAGTACATCTATTTGCAGATGAACTGGGCTGATACTTGTGCCTCCATTAAGTACTGGGTATTATATTTTGTTCATCTTGCTATAATTGATGTTCATTTTTCATGAAGGCGAGATTAAATCTAATGGGGAATTTTATGGTTATTGCATTGTTTAATTATTTAACTGATACTCTCCTTTCATCCAAAATCAATTTCTGGGGCAATACTTGAGACTTAAGACAAAGTCGTAGAACATTGGCACAAATATCAGCTATTGGTACTTTTCGTTTGTGCTCGTTTGGCATGCAGTTTTATACTCTGCTGATAGTTTAGATTCTCCTTGTAAAGTGGTCAGTGGTCAGCAACACATCCGTTAACAACATACAATGATTGATGACAATGTTTGAGCGAGGGATGAATTGGTACAGCACTCATCCGTCCACCTTGGATGTATAAAGTCATCAATATTGTGACAACCACCTAATGAAACCAGTGACCCTATGAGATCATGCTGATCCACGGGGAGAGTGGCTTTATTAGCCCTGCATTAGGGTTTACACTTTAATACCAGGGCCAGTATATTATCCTCACCATAATGAAGGCTTCTGTAGGAGATGTTATGAGGATGGCAGGTAGAAAGCACCGTTGAATCCTTACACTCTATCACTGTTTTAATTATACCACAGTGTATTTTTATGGTACCACATCCTCAGAGGATGTTACTGACACTTCCTCCTCACTGTTTGAATTTCACTAGCTTATTGCAGCATAAAGTATTAGGCCGACACCATTTGAGCTCTAATCGAATTAAGGCAATGAGAGGATATGTGGCAAAATGGTAAGCTGGTAAAAGCTCTGACCAATATAAGACATTAAAAGAGCCATTACAAAGCTTGTGGGATGGTCTGCTGAACTGCGCTCCACCTGTGCCAATGAGAACATAATCCAATATATGCCCTTTATCTCCCCCATTACACATTGACCTTTTTTTACATGCTTAGTATTAACAGATGCAGCCATAGAAATAGTATTATTTTTTTTACATAATTTGTGCTTTATACTGACATGGCTCTTTTTGTGTTACTGCATGTTTTGGAAATCCAGCAAAACAAATCCAAAGTACAGTCGATGCAACATTTGTGACGCTACAGTATGATCAATAAGACCTCAACACCCAACAACAAGAATCCCCATTTAATATCTTTGTACCTTTCATATTCTCTTTGTCCCTTTTTCATGTATGAATCCTCATGTTATGGCTTCCTTTTTCTTATTATACCTCTGTGAGGCTTCTGTACATTGCAGTGGGTTTGTACAGTACGCTTTGTAAATCCAGCCTGTCATTATTGTTCTGTCCCCAGGGATGCTTCACACCGTGAAGGACCAAGACACTCTGGAAAAGGTTGACCAAGGTGAAAAGATGCTTCATTGTGGTTTGGACAATAAGTGTGCACACACTCACACACCCTGCTCACGTCGTACTCATGCAAACAAAGACACAGACACACTCTCTGTATTGTTATTATAATGCAGACTGTGTGAGAATGCACACACACATACACGGAAGGACTGTATGAGTCAGTCTTTTTGTCAAAGACACTTGCACACACACACACACACACACTCTTTGTGTGATAAATGGTCACTGCTGGTTACCAAGGTGATCTTACAAAGACTACATAGAAGTTTCTACATTTAACATTTCTGACCTAATTTCCCATGTTGATATTCTCTCACTGCTGTGCTGTTCAGTACGTTTTCTCTTTGTGTTGAGTGATTCGTTTGTACAGATTTTTCTGCTTCCTGTATGAATGTTGGACTCTCAGTGAACCACCAGTTCGTTTCGCTGCAGCTACTTCTTTCAAAATGCAAAAATGTTTTTGCCAAGTGCAAATGACAGGATGATTTTATGGTAGCTGTCTCAAAATGCCTTAGGGACCACTTTGCTATAATAGTTAGTAAAGTGCTTAAAATGTAACACTGCTTTTGCTCATTGCACAGAGAATGTGTCATGAATACATTTTGAAACTCATTTGAGCCCCATAAATAATGCAGTCATATCTGTGTGTGTATGTATGTGAGGAGAAACACAGGAAAAGAAAGAAAAAGCTGAAAAAATATGTCTGAAGGTTTCTAACATCAGCTAAGCAGTCATGGAAAGCAGCTAACATGATGTGAGCGTTGTTTTCAGCTGAGAGGTTTACCTGCATATTCTCCCTATGGCGATGACATCAGATGTTATAGTAATAAAAATAATAGGTAATAATAATCTCTACGGCACAACAGGTATTATAACAGTTGCTTAAAAGATAAACATTGATTAAACTAAATCCTTAAATTAAACAAGAAACAAAGGTTTTAAAAAGATAAACTCTGGATTACTCTCCTATATTAAATTAATAAATACCTCGAAATGTTATTTTGTTCTTTCTCACAATTTCTGATATTTTCCTAGAAAAGTGGAAAAATACCTGACTGTGATGTTTATTTAATGAATGCTTTTCTGTGTTTTTGGTTTTACGTGGGTGTCTGTGTACATACATGCATTTGTGTGTGTTTATGTATGCCAGTGCTGGTTCAGCTGCTTCTGGAGCTCCAGAATGAGCTGTCACTTCGCTTTGTTTTGGATGAGATACACAAACAGGTGAGGCACACATTTACAGACATATAGAGAAACACCTGCTCATTTACACATGCAGGCACAGGAACATGCTCAGCATCTTAAAATATTTAACAGCACTTGTGTAACCAACAGCATATCCTCCGAGGGTTGTTTAGTAAACAGACAGTTTGCTTGTCTCCCTCTTGCTGCTGTTGTGTCACCTCTGGGGGAGGCAATAGTGGAAAAGCCTCATTCAGCAGCCGACGCTGCAGGTAGATTATAGTAAAGCTGTGTTTACTGATGATGACAGAGAGGTATAACACCAGGTAGAGGTGCAGACAGGTCTTATCTCCCTTATAGAAAAGAGCCTGATTAGAGCACTTCAAGGGAAATGTATTTTAAGGATTAAGGATTTAAGAATACAGATTTTTGATCTAATCTGAGAAATGGAAAAAGATGCTGGTTTGTTTTCTGAGTTATTAAATTATTTATTAAATGCATGTGTCCAAAAACTTATATGCAAAAGGATCTGGAGTATAAGTTGGAGTATTGTAGTTGGATTCATTAACAATGTAATATAAATTGAAAATCATACGTGTCATTGTGGAAGTCCCTTTTTTCATGCCTGCTGTGCTGCTATAACTGGCCTTAAGAGGTGATTCTGAAAATCTTACGTAACATATAAGCAAAAGTGCCATGGTGTAGGGATTTGGCTTATGAATATGTGCCTGCGCTATGTTCCTTTGTAGCTTTACATTGTTGTACGTCTATTGTTACTAACTGTTACTTTGTGTGTTTCGTGTCCAGCTCAGTGACCAGCCCAGTGGGAAGGGTTTCCTGCCCACCTTCAACTTCTTGGGGAGCCTAGTGGAAGCAGTCCCTGACGTGGCCCATAGTCTGGTGACTCAGTACGGTGAGACAGTAACAGAAGGCCACTCACAGTTATGTAGGCACTGGGGTACAAAGAGAAACGGAGGTGTGGTTTCATTTTTTATGGTCATTACTAGCACTTACAGTACATATCAATAAAGATGCACCAAAGGTTGCTGGTGGCAAGTGATAAACAGCTTTTGCACTTGGAAATGTTATCAGCAATTCATATCTTTCTGCCCAGTTAAGGTTTTGAATACTGAACAAAAAGGTGATGTATTTACTTATTTAGTTACTGCGAGATTGTCTGTAACTCTACATACCTTCGCCTGCTGAAGTGTCCTTGAGCGGGATGTCAAGTCAAGTAAATTTTTTTTATATGGCCCCAAAAACACAGATCACAGATTTGTTTCAATGGGCTTTACAATCTGAAGCTGAATCCTTTTGCTGTTCTGTAGCAGCCCCCTGACCTCAGACCTCCTGCTGCTGTGGGTAAGCAAAGAGACGCATTTTGCTTTAGGGGAGAATAGAGAAAACTTTGACTCGGGTTAGTTTGGGTCACTGTTAAAAATCCAACTGAGTTAGGATCGGGTCACATCTCAGATGGTCAAGTTCAGATCTTCATTGAAAAGAACCGAATATGAAAATAAAGCAACTCAGGGTCAATTCGCCTCAGAAGCTGAGATCCATTTACATACATGTATATTACAGTTTATCTTGAATAGAAGAGAAGGATACGAAAGAATATTTAATTTTCAGCGTCTTTTGTTCACTCTGCACCAGCATATCCACAATTCAATCACAGCGGCCTATTCTGACCTTTTCAGTTATTTCCCTAATGCATAGAAATAGTTGTACTGTGTCCATTTTTTAAACAGTCTTCCCCATACCGAACTCTATTCCACTCCTGCTGCTTCTGAAAAAGTCCAAAAACGTGTTTCATTTCCTTTCCCCTGAACCTTCTCAATTTAATCTCTCTAGCTGTTATGACCTTTTCAATTACGCTCCAGCTGCATTGAGATAACTGTGCTGTGTCCGTACTTAAAATTCTATCTGCATAGCCAATCCCAGGCCAGCTCTTGCTGAAAATAAAAAAAGCTAAAATACATGTTCATTCACCCTTTCCCCTGAAATCGCCCATATATGGATATATTTCTAGATATATCTATGAATAATTCTGCAGTGTAGTGAGGCATAACAATAATGCACCCCCACCCCTCACACACACACACATACACACTCAACCGCACCGATTTAATCTCTGCCACAACCACCTGTATGTCTGTCTACTCACTGAACCATTATGCCACTCGGTTTAATGAGCATTGTTAATCAACTTCAAGTGTGTGTGTGCGCGTTGGAGTGTGCTTGTGTCGTGCCTGAGCGCTTGTCCTCACAGGCAAGAGTGAATGTGAGCCTTATGCCAAGCGTTATAGTTATTTTGCTATGCTACATGGGTCCACCTCCCATGTATTTTCAGGAGTTTTACAAGCTCCCCTGAGCAGCCGCAGGTAGTGGTGGGTTGTTGCGATGCTGATGCGAGATGCGGGCTGCCACTATTGACTGTGTGTGCCTGTCTGCGGCCTGTCACTCAACGAGTCTCCGTGGGGCTGTTTGGACTAATGACAACAGCGCGCCAATGACAACAGCAGCCCAGAGCACCCGACACATTTTGCTCTCTCTCTCTCTGACTCAGTGTCTGCCTGTCTATCTAAAAGATTAACCCCTGTGTTTTTCTCACCCCTTTGCTTTTCTCTGCCTGAATCTGTTTGTCTTTTATTCTCTCCCCTCCCCTCTCTCTCTCTCTCCTTCTCTCTCTTCCCTCCTCCCTCTCTCATTTCTGTCCTACTCCCTCAGGTCCTTACCGAGGAGTGGATACAGAACAAATGAGGGAGCAGGGAGGGAAGATGAAGCATTAATGAGATACGGAAATAGGAAGGCAGACAAAGATAACAAGGATGATAAGGGAAGGAAAGGACAATGGTACAAGCTGCAGAGTTTCTCACAGGCTGAGATGATCAGAGCTCTAAAATCAAACAGTTGAGTCATTAAGGACATAGTTTCTCCAATAAGATTACACATTAATTCACCATTTTGGCTGATCAGCGCTTTCAGCTTTATATGGGTGGGTCAAACAAATGCATTTTATATGTGGGAAACACTGCAAGCTGGAGCCAGAGAGAGAAGGTTTAGTTAAAGCAGCGTGAAGCAATGAGTACAAAACAACAGACAAATACTGTAGAGAGCAGATCACACAACCAACAGAGAGCAGTAGTTCAAAGTGCACAGCGGGGCAGCAAAACAGTAAACAAGTCAAACGGAAATTAACCTTTGGTTTCCTCTGTCAAAGAAAGCTGAAGAACAATGTTTAATCTTTTTTTGTTTCAGTTCTTTATTCGTCTGTGTTTGTATGCATGCCTCATAAAACGTGTTGTTGAACAACAGTGTGGCTTTTATTTTCCACCCATCCATTTTACCACTCTTACATTGTGTTCCTTCTATTTCCATCCTCTGTGGAGGTCTTAGCTCCCTCCTCCCCCTCTCCCCTCTTTGCTCTCTCTCCTTCTCTCTTTTTACGCCTGGCTCTCATCTTGGCCGCCTCATATATTTTGGTTTAATCAAACATGTCTGGGAGCCTCTCCTGTCTCACATGGGTTTTGATCTGCTTCACAGAGCAGCTGGGCTTGGGCTTGGCTCCCCTACTATGCCATCCCTTTCTCTCTCTCTTCCAAACTCGCTCACTCTCTGCTCCTCTGTCTCTTGCACCTCCAGCCCTGGCCTATTCTTCTGTTCTCAAGGTCGCTCTTTTATACTTATTTGCTTGTCTTTTCGCTCTTTAGCCCCTTCTTTCTCTGTCTCACCTTCCATCATGTGTTCCCTGCACTCTAATAACTCGATTATATCCACATTAATGCACTAGTTTGGTTATTATAACTGTCATCAATCAATTCCCCCCCCACACTGTGCCAGCATATACATCCTCGTATAAAATTGTTGCGTGCAACTGTCGGCCTGTACTTTGGTTTCTCACACTGCTGTTGGTCAATCGTTTAACTTGATCTGTATTTTGTGGATGTGGTCATAGGCAGAGAGTTTCCATTTGTTCACTGGGCTATATGGTAGATTGATGGTGTATAACAATCAGCCCACTGTCTGCGACCATGTCCTACTGTTCAGTACACACACTCTGCTTTCATTCAGTATATTATTTGTTTTATATTTTTGATCATTTTTGAGATTCTTTAATATATTTAAGTGAGTGAGTTTATGCTTTTTATGTTTTTATTTGTTGATGATAAATGAAGCCTTTATATTGCAACTAATTCTGCAAATAACAGAGCATTAAGGTCCTCTGTAAATTAATCCTATCTCTATGTCTTTTCATTCTGTCTCACTTTTCCCCTCTGACTCAATCTGTGTGTGGCTCTCCTTCCTCACATCTTATACTCTCCCACCCTCTCTCTTTCTCAGCCTTTCTACCTCTATCTGTCTCTTCTTATCTTTTTCTTTTACGCCATCTCACTCTCTCCATGTGTGCCTCTCTGCCTTTCTCTTTTTCCCTTCAGACAGCATTCCTGCAAAGAGAAGAGACTCGCTCGCTCTTCCGGCTGCCACTTTACTGCATTCTCTCCCCAGTGGCCAATCTGCAATCCATTTTTATCTTTGTGGCAACTTTCTCTCCAATGTTACTCCGTCATTGTAAAATATTGATTGGTTTTGTTTCCCCATATGATCATGTATGTATTCTTTTCTTTTATCCTGTTTAAAACCTCTGTTTGTTTATGTGTTTACTCATCTGTCTCCCACCTTATGTCCATCAGTGCCCATGCTGGAGCACCTGTGCTCAGCCTTGCTTTACCCAGATGAGGCGCTGAAGGCTTCGGTCCTGTATGTGTGGCTCAAACTGTTCGGGACAGCTGGGGGCTCGGCAGCCCAGTCTTTGCCCACTGCCATCAGGGACAGACTGTGCATCCTGCTGCTGCAGACGTTGGCCAATGCCAGCTCCACCCAACTCATCAACAACTGTGTTGGTGAGGAAAAAAACATTTGTCACTTATTATATATTGAGAGTTTTATAGGTTATATGAAAAACATAATTTTAATGAAAGTTCAGCCCTTCATCATTTTGCAAGAGGGATTCAAACATTTTAACCAGGTCGAGGTTGGTTAAGATGAACCATGTTGAACATTTGGGATGACAGTAAACTCAAAGGTTTTATATATATATATATATATATATTTTATTATTTAACAGATAACTATTAACAAAATAATCAATACATCTGTCTGGAACAGGATATAGCCAAAATTCAAATATTTTTCTTTGAACAGAAAGTTTGAATGACTATATAGAGTGACTTTTTATAACTTTTTCAGCCTGTTTTTTTAACTTTGTAGAAACTTAGTTTTTTCAAATTTACTGTATAAAACTATAATTGAGAGCATCATTAGCCGCCTGGATGAAATAATGCAAAAATTATTGGCCTCATTTAGGTTTATCATGCACTACATAGGCAAAGTGAGATTGAGTGGCTATCATCAAAAAGTTTGAAGTTGTTGAGATCAGTACAGTATGCTTAGCTTAGGCAAGCATGAAAAATTTGCAACTGGAGATAAGGGGAGGATGTTATTAAAAATGGATGAAAAATTGAGCTGAGCACAACAGCAACTAGTTTGCTGATAGTCTGGGGGAAAGGCTATTAGGATTTTTTTTTTTTGTCATTCGTGAAACTTCACTCCAAGCTGCCCGGGAGAGAATAATGATGAGGACTATTAAGGGTGTGGACTTACAGCATGATTGACAATAATGTTGTTCCCAGTCTGTTTTCTGTTTTTTATGCACATATAGTCACTTTAAGAAATTCGTCAGAACCTCAGAACTACTGTCTCATCATAAGATGTCTCCGCTAGTTGGCAGGGGTTGTTGATAATGACACAGAGCTGCTTTGTTGTTTGTTTGTTTTTAGAAAAGTTAACAGGTCATAAAATAACACGACCATAATCATCTTTCTCTGTGAACATCCAGAGTCTACTTAAGAGTGAAGCTAGATGGAGAAAGAGGAGGGATTACACTGAGATGAAAGAGCTATCTTGTAGGAGTTTTGAGTTGTAAGGGTAATAAGCTTTGGCGATAACCATAATGGAGGTCTACACGATGTGAAGAGGAGTTATTGAAAAGAAACGCTCTCATTATCTGCTAGAAATTTAAAGTTGTAGTTTTATCACTGTATTAACTAAGGGGGGGTGGGATGCACTGTGGGCTTGGAATTAAGGCGCAAGGTTGTTTTACTCCAGTCTTTAGAGTAGCTGCAGTTGAGCTTTTGCTGTTGTTGTTTGTGTTATTTTGAACTGATTTCATCTTAATAAGCTTACCTTCAGCAGCCCCGGTGAGAACAGCACAATGGAGGAATTAAACAGGATTATTATTATTTTTCTTCAGCGCTGTGTTCAAGACTTTTCTATGAAAGGAAAAATGTACTTTTTCTAATGTTTAAAAATGATTTCTTGTGTTTTATTATTTTGTCTTCAAATGGCTGGAAAAGAAAAGAAAATCCTTGCAGCTGGGCAACATTTAATTGCTAATTATGTAACTGTTTATTGGATTGTGTGTTTGAGTTCTCATTTGTGTACAGTATGTATTTGTCCTACTATAATATCATTTTGTGAAATCTGTGAAACAGCTTTGCACTCGTACAGGGGTCGAATGCAGGACCTCTGTGGACTCTGTGCTCATCTGTATGACACTTGGTTTGACTTGTGGCTGGACCTTATTTGTGATGTTTATTACATATGTGTATTGTATCTTCTTTTGTCATGTTAACCTCAACATCTTTCCCAAGTAAAAAACTGCCACATGAGGGGTGTATCCATTAGGGCTGTGTACTGGCAAGAATCTAGCCATACGACATATACATACAGTGTTGTATTGTATTCATGAGTGCATTTCAAATGTATCTATCCTCGTGTCTTGTCTAAAACCTTATTGTTAAAGTGTGAGGATTTGTGTATATGTTCGAATGTATTTTTTTAGACTGCTTTGTCATCAGTATCTATTTTCACACCTTGTCTTTCATCTGTTAGGCCTGCTGTGGCTGCTGGTGCAGCAGGGAGAGGCAGTGTCAGTTCTGATGAACAGCCCCAGCAATCAGATCGTGTGCAGTGACAACCAGAACAGCCTCACCAACAACAGCCAGAGCCTCAGCCAAAACCAAGAGCAACAGTCCACTGACCATTGCCCTCTGCCTCTCATCCTGAAAAAGGTCTCTGTCCAAACATCCTGCTCCCACCCCCAAGAACCGCATTCTGGCACTGACGATAATCATAACAAGAAGTTCTAATCCTGGATTAATGTGCCTTTGAATAGGGATTCAGGGGGGGTTTACCCTGGACAAATATTTGTGCTACATGTCTGGGAAATCAATGCGTAGATTACATCTAGTTCGATTTTCACAGTTGTGACTCACATTACAGCACAGCTCATGACGTTAGTAGTTTTTTTTGTAGATCACCATTGTGTGCAGGGTTTTAATAAAATCTAACTCTTAACAAAATAATCCCCCAAAACATATTTGATTATTTAGGATCCATCCTACCCAATAGATTGTCAGTTTTTTATTATACACAGATAAAAGATAAAAACACATCTCTAATTTACTTGTTTAGTGGTTGTTACTGGTACAAAATGACGTAATATACAGCACACAAAGTCTGTCTAAGGCTTTGTAGCTATTATTATTTATAGAGGGTTATAAATCTAGGAAGATAAAATCACTAATGTAATATAATGATAATTGTAATGTTGATAGTTTTACCTCACCCAATGCCCAGTGACTTGATTTTGGCTTCAAACTAAAAACTAGGGTAGACCGATGTTACAGCAAGTGCACTCTTAATATGTTTTGGGGTTTTGGTGTGAGAGTGAAACTATGATGAGCAAACCTGCACTTATATAGTATGTCCACCTAAACCAGGGTTGCCGGAAGTGGGGACCGTGGACCACCAAAAGGTGAAATTGGCCCACCAGATTCTTCAAGTAAAAACAGATTAAGTTTTAAAAAATTGTAATGTTACTGTTCTATTGTTTGTACAGTGGGAAGAGTGACATTTTAGACAACTAAAGGAACTTGGGATCCTAGTTTCATTTTGCATCCTTACAATACAATAGGTATTTTCCTGTGGCCCTAGAACCACCATTAAGTTTCAGTTTTGGGAAATAAATGGGCATCCCTGACCTAAACCATTTCTCCGTGGCTTAGACGATTCTTAAAAACAAAACAGATATTTCTGAACATTGTTCAGAGATCATTTTCAAGTTACATAGTACTAATTGCATGTACCAATTACCTTGGATGTACTGTACATGCGTGCATGCTCATGGTGTTTATGTTTGCCTTTGACACATTCATAAACTAACTGCAGCATAGAGCATAGACAGTCTACTGAAGATGAGAGCCAGACAATTGGCAAAACATTGCTTTATAATTTAGTTTTTTAAGTCTGGCAGTGTTGTAGAGGCTATACTTTATGTATGTCAAACAGTCTGTGGAAGCCCTGCACGCTGTTTGAATGCTATGCATCTTAGTGACTGGTGTATTCTAATTAAGGCCATATAATGTTTTTTTCCAGTTGCTGCTGAGTGGCGATGAGATGTTGCAGACTATCAGCGCGAAGTGTATTGCTGCTGTCCTGGTTCATTCTCCCAGTCAGTGCAGCGGCCCCTTCATCAAGGCTGACGTACCTGGTGATATGCACGCACAGACACACAAACACAGCGGCTGGGATATGCTAACTGAACAAGCTGTCGCCTTCTTTGATTTGCCCTCTACAAATAATTTCCTCTGCCTTGTTCTGCTTTCAATTTTGACTCCCTCTCTTGTTATTTATCTTGCTGCCTCTCTGTGTATCCCTCTTTCTCCTCATTTGCCTTTGCTGCTTTCTCCTCTACTTTTATATCTACCTCTTCATCACTTTAGGGGTTCTGTTTGTGTTTCACTCTCGTCCCTGAATTTCAGAATATTATGGGGCTTTCAAAACAGAATACTATGATCCTTTTTATGTGTCCTGCTAAATTAGCATGAAAACATTACACACTGTTTTGGAAATTGTATGATGATGCTAAAGAAGAATATTAAATTGTATCTGTATTGTTCCCTGTTCTCTTCTTCTTCATCCCCTCACACAAGTTCTCTTTTTCTCTCCATTACTCTTTTCCTAAATAGAGTTTCTCTTCGACCGTCTGGCCAGTAGTAGTAGTGAGGTGCTGCTGTGGTCTGTCTACAGCTGTTTGGTGTTGCTTACTGAGGACCCGCTCTTCTTCGCCCAGTGTCACTCTGTCTATGGTGAGAGCAGTTGGATAAAAAAACAAAAACACAACTCCTGAGGCACGATCATGTCATCCCTGTTTGTGTTATGTCTGTTTGTGATGGTGTCACTGTAGGATTTGGGGTTTCATGGTACGACAGGTCACGTGACAGCATATACACTGTGTAATATTTCTGACAGTGACAAGACATTTTAAAAAACCCTCCAAAGTGGGATTGGAGTAGTTTGCGTGTACCTCATACTTCATTGCAGTTTAATTATTTCAACTAGGCAGATGCTGCTATTGTAATGTAAGAATATCAGACTAAATAGCAACAGAACTAGTAATCACATATGGGCAGAAATGTCAATATTTTCATGCCTAATGATTATTGTTCTGACACAAAGATGTGTATGCGTTTGTATGCTTTTGGTGTAGATGACTTATTTAAGAGTCCACTGTCTTTGGAGCTTTTTTAATTCTGCAGCACTTCAGCTGCACTCATGAGTAATTGTGTAAAAACCTCTTGCAGTACAAACTTAATTTGCCAGTACACAGAATATCTGGTGTAACCGCTCCCTGTGATATTAAGTTCTTGCTCTAGTTGACTATAAACACGATATCAATACAGCAGATTCTGTGTTGCAGTAAATTAGAAAGATGTACCTCTGCCACTGTTTGTTTGACATGCAAGATTGTGTGTGTGTGTGTGTATGTGTGTGTGCTTCCTGCACGTATTACATTTATGAGCATGTCAGTCATTTTAATGCAGGCAGTCGCTGTAGCCTGTAGTGTTGTAGACATCTGTCAAAGCACTGTCATAACTTCGACACTGAGCAAGATTAAACAAATGTGTGTTGTTTTTTGGGGGGTGGTGGGGGTCTGTCTGCCTGGTCATGTGCAAAATGGAGTCATGTATTTCTTTGACACAATGAGTATGTGTGCTTGCGTGTGTTAGGTATTGAATCCCTGGTGCGCAGCCTGAAGGAGGCTTTGCGGCTGACCAACCTGGAAGTGCCGAAACAAGGTCTGCTGCTTCTCACTGAGATACTGGAAAGGTGAGACTGCTCTGTAACGTTTTCATGCCTTCATGCTGGCGATAGCCGGGGATAGGAGCTTTACGTTTTCATGTTGTCCGTCCGTCCCATTCTCTGGACTTTTGGTCATAACTTAAGAATGCATGACCATATTTCACAATTGGTCAAACAGTAAGCAAAGAAAGGTTGCTGTCACGTCAAAATAACCTTGACCAACATGTCTTTTGTCATAAGTCAAGAATTGATGCAGTGATTATGACAAACTTTCACACAGGTGTTTAATGG